ATGAAAGCCATTAGAAAACGTCTGGTTTTGTAATGTTTTGGATTCAGCATAGGTTGCAAATAATCACTTTTTTCTCCATGATGATTATATGAACAATTCTCACCCCTTGTCACTTGATAAGCAGGCAAAAAAATTGACAAAATATGAAAATAGAAAAACATAGCTTATTATATATTTTTCTCAATTCTCTTTTCAAAGGACATGGGTATAAACTGACCATTTTTTGTATCAAGGGAGGCATGTTTCTTAGGAATCTGTCAAGTTTGTAAGATGGAAAAGAGTCTCTTAGACACCTGATTAGTAGTGAAAGATATGGAGGCTAAAAGACCCCAAGTTGAGTAAGCAATTTCCAATGTAATTTTAAAATGTAATGTGAAAAATTTTAAAACAAACCAATATATAAAGTTACCAGGAGTTTGATTTAGCTTTCCTATTATTGTATGTGGTTTAGAATTACAGTGTTTGTATTAATTTATTTCTAAGCTGTGAGTAGACTAATAAAAGGTTTCAAGAGCGTTGACAAATGAGAATTTTGGTAAGAGGTAGAAGGGGTAGAAAAAGGTTAGTGTCAAAGAGATTCTGTGAGGAAATACAAAAGGTGTTAAATATAAAACCGAAAGTTATAAAACTACTTGGAAAAAAACATCCGGGAAATTCTTCAGGACATTGGTCTGGACAAATTTCTTGGGTAAGACCTCGAAAGCACAGGTAACCCAAAGCAAAAATAAATGGATGGGATAACATCAAGCTATAAAAGCTTCTATATAGCTAAGAAAACAAGCAACAAAGTGAAGAGACAACCTACAGAATGGAAGAAATTATTTCAAATTACCCATCTGACAAGGCATTAATAACCAGAATATATAAGGAGCTCAAATAATTAAATAGCAAAAAAGATTTTGATTAAAAATGGACAAAAGATCTGAATACACATTTCTGAAGAGAAAACATACAAATGGCCAATAAGTGTATGAAAAAGGAGAAACATTACTAATCATCAGGAAATAGAAATAAAAACTACAATGAGATATCATCTCACCTCAGCTAAAATGGCTATTATCAAAAAGATAGAAAATAACAAATGCTGGGTGAGGATACAGAGAAATGGGAATGCTTGCACACTGTTGGTCAGAGTGTAAATTAGTACAGCCACTATGGAAAACAGTATGAAGGTTCCTCAAAAAACTAAAAATAGACCTACCATATAATCCAGTAATCCTACTCCTAGATATATAGCCAAAAGAAAGAAAGAAAGAAAATCAATATATCGAAGAGATATCTAAACTACCATGTTTATTACAGCACTATTCACAGTAGCCAAGCCATGGAATTCACTTAAGTGTCCATCAATGGAGAATGGATTAAGAACATGTGGTATATGTACACGACCGAATATTATTCATCCATAAAAAGAATGAAATTCTGTCATTTGCAACAACCTGGATAGAAATCAGCAAAGCACAGAAAGGCAAATGTCATGTGTTTCCGCTCATAGGTGGGAGATTAAAAAATTGATGTCATGAAGGTAGAGAGTACAACAGTGGTCACCAGAGGCTGGAGGAGAAATTGGGCAAGGGGATGGTGATGGTATAGTTAATGAATACAAAAATACATACAAAGATAAAGAGTTAGTTTTTTTTTTTGCATCACAAATATTTACAATTAAAAATGATGAATATAATTAACATGTTTAAGAAAAATTATTTCAAAATTATAAGAGAAGATGATTTCAAAACATTGCTATTCAAGAGTTTCCGACTTTGGTTATTTATGATTTCTACGTGAATAAACATCATATCCTTAAGTCTCCATCTAGAAACCACTGTGTGACTTTTTTTGTGGATTGAGATTTGGATATCGAGTATGTCTCAAGTGATTTTAAACCTGTAATGACCCAAGCTTTGCGAGTGTCAGATATATGTTCATCTTTTTAGTACACGGAGGCCTCATATTTATATCTTGTTCTGCATTAACTCACTTTTCCTAAAATTTCCAGTTATTATGTAGTTGATGATGATTGAAGAACCAAAAGACAAATAAATTCACAGCTTTGTGTGTACAGCTGACAGAGGTCTTTGAGAATTTCTTCATGAGCTTTAGCACTTAAAATCTACTTGGATATACAATAGTGTAATTGGTTTATAATTATAGAATTTATAAAGAGTGGGTCCAAAAAGTAATTCAAAGCATATCCTATACACTATCTCTTACTTAGCTTAAAGTTTCATTCTTCTTCTGTATGTTATATACAAATACTTTTCTAATATCCTTGTCCTTTTTAGATTTTCCTTTTAATCTTTTTTCTTTTCCTTTAATTCTTCTCCACTTTTATCAACCCTTATTTTCTGTTTTTTCTCTGTCGCTTGGAAACACTGTACAGTCTCTTTACTCGTATTTCTTAATTATATAATAATGCATATTTTCACGTGTGCTTAATTATCCAAAACATTCTTGTCTATCTTTCAGCAAACATTCGTTTGTCTGTATTATGTAGGAGTATGGTTCTCAGTTTGGGATGCATACAAAACAGATGTAGTGCTTAAATTTATGGGGGTTGCAGTCTTTTTGGGGAGAAGAATTTAGACAAAAAATCAGTGAATTGTATTTGTGGTAAGTACAACAAAGAAATTCATTGTTCTTTGAAAGCAATCCAGAAGGTTTGTATTTTGATGACTAAAAGAATATGAATATTGTAGTCTCCTATTATTATGCAAAATATAATTATAATTTATCATGAAAATATATTGTAGATATGGAATTGTAATGTTCTCTTATAACTAATACATCTCATTTTCCTATTCATTCATTTTTCTCAAGTATTGAGCAGCATCATGAGCAAGTAAAAGAAAATAAGCTATTATTAAAAACATAATTGCAAAATTCTATTTCACTCCTACAATTTACCCTGAGGAGCTAGTATTATTTGCAATTTCATAAGTATACAAATTGAGGCTCATGTGTTTGTGTACCTTGCCCAATATCAACATATCAGTGACTGAACCATGGTATGAATCTTGGTTTCTGTATCCAAAGTCTGTATCCTTTCTACTATGCTATGTTGCTTCTCCAAATAAAATTGAAATTAAAATAAAATATAATACATTTTTGCATAGAGGTTTGAACAAAATACTTTACACTGTACCAAAATGCCCTTCATCACTTGAGCTTTTCAGATCATGTGCTAAGTACTCTAGGGCAATGCTTCTCAAATTATCTTAGTTATATGTATTTTCCTAATGCTTCTTGGACTGATATTTTAGTAGAATATAATCTCAAACACTTGGTTTTGTTGTAATGTCAAATTGCTAGAGAATTTTCTAAATACTTACTTGAAAGTTCAGTACCTCATGTAATGCAAACTTGTACCTGACAGTTTATGGACCTGTTCCTCTCTGTGGACCACTGTTTTTCATTGCTTTAGGCAACCCCAAAGTGAGTAAGTTGTAATCCCTGGGTTTAAGATGCTTATATTAATATGGTGAGTTGAGCTTGTATTCAACTTATTAAAATATAAGGAAAAGTAAAATAAATGCTAGTAATATGAAGCAAGATCTCACAGCTATGGTAAAAATTCAATAAACCTTGAAAATAAATATTTTCCAGAAGTAGGGAGTGGGGAAGGAGGGCTTGTTTGCCAGAGTATGACCGTAGTCTTAGAAATGGATGCAATACTTAAGAAAAGATTAATAGCTTTGTGTGACTAAAGCCAGACTACCTAAATCTTGAAGCAAAACCCCTTAAAATTTGAGGGTAAATTTCTGTTACCCAGTTTATCCAATCTTATGTCTCAAAAGGAACATCTGGGCAGCTACTCTTGGAGTAAGTGGAGAGGTAATAAAGCAGAGACAACTTGGTGGAAGAGAGCTTCAAGCGACAGCTATCACCTTCTTTTTGTGATCACAATTTCAGAATTGGTGGGTATATTAAGTTTTCCCCAGCTTCATTATGGTATTGTTGACAAATAATAATTATATATATTTATGTGAACAACATGATATTTTGTTATACATATACAGTGTGAAATGATAATCAAGTGAATTAACATATTCATCTTTTTGTGGTGAGAATGTTTAAGATCTAGTCTCTTAGCAATTAAGTATGCAATACATTATTATTACCTATCGTCACCATATTGCACAACAGATCTCCAGATACTCTTCATCCACTTTAACTGACATTTTGTGCCCTGTGACCAATATCTTTCTATTCTCCCCCAGTCCCCAACCAGCTTCTGGCAACCACCACTGTTATTTTTGCTTCTTTAAATTTGAATTCTTCAGTTTTCACATATAAGTGGAATATTGCAGTATTTGTCTTTCTGTGTTTGTCTTATTTTGCTTAGTATAATGTCCTCCAGGTTGATTGGTGATGTTGTAAGTGACATGATTTCATTGTTTATAAATGCTAAATAGTATTTCATTGTATATACATCACATTTCCTTTATCCATTCATATATCAACAGATAGTTCGATTCCACATGTTGACTCTTGTGAATAATGCTGCAGTAAAAATGGGAGTACAGATATCTCTTTGGCATAGTTATTTCATTTCCCTTGGATATATATACAGGTGTGGGACTGCAGAGTCCTATGGTAGCTCCATTTGTAATTTTTAAAGAACATTCACACTATCCTGATGCAGTGGCTCACGCTATAATCCCTGTATTTTGGGAAGCCTGAAGTAGGAGGATTGCATGAGGCTAAGAGTTTGAGATCAGCCTGGGCAACAAAGTGAGACACTGTCACTATAATAAAATGGAAAAAATAGCCAGGCGTGGTGATGCGCACCTGAAGTCCCAGCTACTCCAGAGGCTAGGCAGAAGAATCACTTGAGCCGAGGGGTTTGAGGCTGCAGTGAGCTTTGAGTGTGCCTGTTGGACATTAGATGAGTTTAATGTTGAAGTGGAAATAGGCTTTTATAACTTTGACTTCTCTCTGTCCAGTCTATTAATATAATTACCATGATTTACAATTTCTGCTCTTGTTCTCTTAAGGTAGTAATGCCCACAAAGCCAACGGATGGGGCAAATCACTCTGTGGTGTCAGAGTTTGTATTCCTGGGACTCACCAATTCCTGGAATATCCAACTTTTCCTCTTTATGTTCTCCTCCATATTTTATGTGGCAAGTATGTTGGGAAACTCCCTCATTATGCTCACAGTGACTTCTGACCCTCACTTACACTCTCCCATGTATTTTCTGTTGGCCAATCTCTCCTTCATTGACCTGGGTGTTTCTTCTGTCACTTCTCCCAAGATGATTTATGACCTTTTCAGAAAGCACAAAGTCATCTCGTTTGGAGGCTGCATCATTCAGATCTTCTTCATCCATGTCATTGGTGGTGTGGAGATGGTGCTGCTCATAGCCATGGCCTTTGACAGGTATGTGGCCATATGTAAGCCTCTTCATTACCTGACCATTATGAACCCAAGAATGTGCATCTTCTTCTTAGTGGCTGCCTGGACGACAGGCCTTATCCACTCAGTGGTTCAGTTGACTTTTGTAGTAGACTTACCTTTCTGTGGTCCTAATGTATTGGACAGCTTTTACTGTGACCTTCCTCGGTTCATCAAACTTGCCTGCACTGATATCTATCGACTGGAATTCATGGTAACAGTCAACAGTGGATTCATCTCTGTGAGCTCTTTCTTCATACTGATCATTTCCTACATTGTCATCATTCTCACTGTTCAGAAACACTCTTCAGTTGGTTCATCCAAAGCTCTGTCCACACTTTCAGCTCATATCACTGTAGTAGTCTTGTTCTTTGGTCCTTTGATTTTTGTCTATACCTGGCCATTTCCATCCACATACCTGGATAAGTTTTTGGCTATCTTTGATGCAGTTCTCACTCCTGTTTTGAATCCTATAATCTATACATTCAGGAATCAAGAAATGAAGGTGGCAATGAGGAAAGTATGCAGACAGCTCGTGAGTTACAGAAAGATTTCTTAAAATTTCCGTATTGTGAAGAGTCCTCATTGAATACTGAAGTTCATTGTAAATGTCAAATTCAGAGAAAAGCTTTTCCCACCTTGATTTGATAATCCACATTGATATTGGCTCTGTTTTATCTTTCATTTAGGAGGGACAAACATTTGTATGTAAAAGAAGAGAAGGAGTAATAAATAAAGTATTTAGAAATCAAGGATTATTATAATCTTGAGCCTCAATTCCTAAAGAATAATTTTTTTGTCGTTTAGCTTGAGAAAAAACTCTCAACACTGGATCTCACTCCATCACTCAACCTCAAGTGCAGAGGTGTGATTCTGGCTGACCACAACCTTGAGATCCGGGACTTAAGGGATCCTTCTGCCTCAGCCTCCTGAGTAGCTGGGAATGTAGGTGTGCACCACCATGCCTTGTTAATTTTTGTTTTTTTTTGTAGAGAAGTGATCTCGCTGTATTGCTCAGGCTGGCCTTGAATCTGGGCCCAAGATATTCTCTCACATCAGCTTCTTAAAGTGCTGGGATTACAGTTGTGAGCCACTGTGCTTGCCCAGGAATTATTTTTATATGAAGCAATTATTAGAATTATATAAGATGGCAGGCCATAATAAGGCCTATGGAAAAGAGAAAAGAAAATTAGTCCACTTTAATTCTGTATGGTCTTACCTTGAATTGATTACATCTGCAAAGATTCTGTATGTAAATAAGGTCACATTCACATGTTCAGTGTTAGAACTTTAAAATATATATTTGGTGGACACAAATCAAATCACTGGTAGTATAGGTAGTATAGATATCTGAGAATAGAGATGGTTGTGGTATACCTATCTATTTATCAGAGTAAAAATATATTTAAGATAAACATGGTAAAAATAACTTTTGATCTTTCATAGGCAAACTTAATAGCATAAAGCACAAGAAGTTATTCTTGTGAGCTGTAGAATCTCTGCCTACTGTGAAGATTACACAGAAGGTAAAGAACAACATTTACTGTTTCTTTAAAAGACAGAAAATTAAATTTGTTATGTCATTCAGACAGAAAGAAAATCAAATTCTAGTCTTGTTTTCATATAATATTTGGCAATAACGCATTCCTGAGATTTTAAAAATAAAGATGCACTAAAGCTGAGCAGTGTAAAACTTTGCCAAAATTCTAATATATATCATTGCTTCTATTCAGACTTATTATTTGAAGTTATATATATGCAATAAAGACAAATAAAATATACTTCTTGAATCTTCAACATTGAGGTTTTTTTTTTAGCCTTTGTCTTTCACATTTTGGATTAACCAGACATTGTATCTTAGGATGAATCTACCTTTTTAACGCTTGATAAACTAAATCAGATCCTACTACATTGTATAGTCAATCATATTTTATGGCTACTATTACTTCTAGTTTCTTTCTTTTTTTATATCAGTATTTTTTATTTTGATATTGTGGGGTACAGTTAAGGGTTAGGTATATAAATATGCTTTGTTCAGGCACCCTTGTTGATAAGGGATGTTTCCCTGTCCCCAGACAGATATTACTACCATTAATCCCACCTCAATTCCCCTCCCCCCCCATAGTTTCCCACCACTGTCAGTCATTTTCTCATAGTATTACGATGGATGTTCAAGGTCCACTATATGAGTGAGAACATGTGATACTCAGATCTTTGTTTCTGTGAGAGGTCACTCAGTATTATAGACTCCAGTTCCATCCAGGTTGCTGTGAAATTCATGATTTTGTACTTTTTTATGGCTGCGTAGTATTCCATCATGTATATGTACCACATTTTTTAAATCCAGTCCTCTTTTGATAGACAGCATGGTTGATTTCAAGCTCTTGCTATTGTGAACAATGCTGTGAAAAACATACATGTGCAGGTATCTTTTTCGTAAAGTGCTTTGAGTTCTTCAGGGTATATTCCCAGTAGGAGATTGTGGGGTCACATGGGAGGTTGATATTTAGAGCTTTTAGGAATCGTCACACTGTGTTCCATAGAGGCTGCACTAGTTTGCACTCCCACAACAGTGTAGAAGCTTTCCCTTTTCATGACACCCTCTCCAGCAACTGTTATTTTTTGAGTTATTGATAATTGCCATTCTGACTGGAATTAGGTGGTATCTCAGTATGGTTTTGATTTGTATCTCCTTGATGATTCGTGAGGTTGGACATTTCTTCATGTGTCATTTGGCTGCTCGGATGTCTTCCTTTGAGAAGTGTCTGTTCACATCTTTTGCCCACTTTATAATGGGGTTGTTTTTTTTTTCTTTTAAGCATGTTTGAGTTCCTTGTAGATCCAAGATGTTAAGCCTCTGTCGGACCTGGAGTTGGCAAATACTTTTTCCCAGTCTGTGGG